CAGAAAGTTGGACAATGACTAGGGAGGATAGAAGGAGAATTGATGCCTTTGAGCTGTGGTGCTGGAGAAGAGTATTGAATGTTCCATGGACTGCCAAGAAAACAAACAGATCCATCCTAGAGAGGGTTAAACCAGGCTACTCCTTGGAGTCAAGGATTCTGGGGCTTCTTCTGACATACTTTGGACATGTTGTAAGGAGAGACAGGTCCTTGGAGAGGGACATCATGCTTGGTAGGGTAGAGGGACAGCGCAGGCGAGGAAGACCCTCTATGAAGTGGATTGATTTAATGACTGGGGTAATCGGTATGGGTGTGTCAGAGGCAGTGCAATTGGCACAGGACAGAGCAGAGTTTAGGGCTGTTGTACATAGGGTCGTTATGAGTCACAAACGACTAGACGGCACATAACAACAACAGAGTCAGAACCATCCCTCAGCTGACCTTCCAGTGGATTTGGAGAGGCAGTTAATCTCATTGGAGGGGATTACCCATCCTTCACCAGTGGAGCAACTGGTGGATTCAAACCGTGTGCCTTTGGAATTACAGTACAGTTTATTACCAATACCTTATAGGCTTGTCATTTGGTTGAAAGTTGAGCCAAACAAGGTGTAAAGGGTGAGGAAATGACATCATCTTGGGGGATCCACTAGTCTCTAACAGACCAATAAATAGTCTTTTTTTTTTCTGTATGTATATCCTTGTTTAGCTCTAATCTTTGAAGAAGCAGATTGGGAGGTCTGGGTTTTCCTTGGTGCTTTCAGGTAGCTTTGGGCCACCAATCTTGCCAAGCACAGACCATCTGCAGCACCCAAGGCACCTTAAACTTGGTCTTAATTATTAATTCCCCCACTTTCTTCCCACATCCCATCTACAAGACTGCCTACTGTGATCTATTTCAGAGTGGTCTGTAATGGTAGCCAGCTGTCGCTGAGTTCTTCTGTTCTCAGGGTTGTGGAAGCTGCTGCTTAGTTGGTCTGTTGGCCTTTTGGACAAATTATTTTCGTTTATCTTTGCTTTTATTCCTTCTTCTTTGCTTCAGATGGGGAGAGACTCATAGTTGTGCCACTTGCACATCTTCCTCCTTTTTTCCCGGATTGTTTTCTTTGTTGTTCATTGTTGTGTACCATCAAGTCAGAACCAACCCATAATTGACCCTCTGGTGGGTTTTCAGAGGCAGTAAGTGCATGGAAGGAGATTGCCAATCCTTCTCCCATGGAGCAGCTGGTAGATTCGAACCACATGCCTCTGGGATTGCAAAAGCTGCTTTTTGCCACAAGGCTTCCAGTGCTCCCTACCAAGCATTATTTCTTTGTCTACAGACTGATCTTAAAAAAAAAAAAAATTACACTGGTTTACCTACAAAGTTTGAATACATTGACCCTCACATCAGATCTCCCCCACCTCCCCAACCCATCCCTCCACCACCCGTCAAACCGTGCAACCACACGACAACCCTCACCCCTCCTCCCCGCTCCTCTCCTTAGATCCTCTTACATGTTTTACTACTGATCTTCTTGATTAAATGTCCAAGGTATATGAGTTGAAGACTTGCCATCTTTTGTTTTTAAGGATCATTCTGCATGTACGTCTTCCAGTCAGATCTGTTTGTTCTTCTACCAGTCAGTGATGTATTCAGTACTCTTTGCCAACACTAATTTAAATACAGTCATTTTTCTTCAGTCTTCCTTGTTCATGGTCCGGTAATAACGATCTTGGGTTAGGCACAGTTTCATCCTTACATTTCTTCTTTTTAATACTCTAAAAGAGTATACTCTTTTGGTCCAAAGCAATATGCTGTTCGATTTCTTGACAACTGCTTCTCTGGGCATTAATTGTGGATCTAAGTAAAATGAAATATGTTATAATGTCAGTCTTTTCTCCATTTACCATATTGTTGCTTATTAGTCTAGTTGTGAAGATTTTGGGGTTTTTCTTATGCTGCTATGTAGTGAAGGCTGTAGTTATTGTTGCTATTATTCATCAGAACTGGTAAAGTACTTTGAGACCTCTTTACTATATCAGCAAGCAAAGTTGTATCATCTGTGTATCTCGATTGTTGATAAAGTATCCTCCAACCTGATGCTGCATTCTTCTACAGTCTGCTTTCTTTGATATTTTGCTCAACCTACAGATTGAGTAAATCACTCCTGATTGATACAGACTTTTCCTGATTTTACGACTGTTTGCGACCTCTTGACCTAAGCACGATTAAATGTCCTGGATTGCTCATTCTTTGCAGTGTCATAGTTTTTATGATGTCATTGCATAGTCAGTAAAATACAGGTAGACATCTTCTTGTTATTCTCTGTACTTAGCCAAGATCTGCCTGACATCAGCCATGATGCCACTTACTCCACAACCTCTTCTGTATCCTGCTTTAATTTCTTGCATTTCCCTTGCTGCATCCATATTTAAATTATCTCTAGCAAAATCTTATTCATATGTGATAATAATGATCTAGTGTGATGATTTTCACAATCTATGAAATAACATTTCTTTGGAGTGGGCACAAATATCTGTTCCAGTTGGTGCAGAGTTGAGAATTTCCACTATGACCTATCTTCACCCTCCATACTTATAAAGAGTATAGCTTTCCAGATTGTTCAGTTGTTGTTTTTTACATACTCTGCTTCCACCCATAGGGGATATATTTTTAAACTACATTGGAAAAGGACACCCAGTATGTAATGTCACCCATCAGGATACTGGCCTTGGTGAGCTTTCCTGCTAGGATCACTCAGCAGTGATTTTGGAATGTCATTCACTGGTACAGGCATTCTTCATGGCCTACGTCAGGCATCTCAGTGTTAGGACAATGAGACTCATTGTCTGTGAGAAAAAGGTCAGTAGATATTTTATTAGCTAACAAGATATTGAACTTAAAGTGACAAAAAAGGTAAATGTCAAAACTTGTGGGACCGCAATACCCCTAATCTTACAAATTCGAGATACTTCTCAGTCATTCCATTTTCTTAGGAGTAGCAAAGTAAGGTAAAAAGAAAATATATAATGCGACCAATATCTTAAAATGACCAGGATTATTAAATTTAATTAGTTTAATGGAGTACACTTAATTTTAGTGAGTGTTGTGTGGAATTTGAATATATTTTTCAGTAAAGTGGATCTTCTTTAAAAATTTACCTACTTGCATTGTTATGTTTGATTTCTAGTAGAGAAATGGTACAATTATTGCATGCAGATAAAAAAAAAGAATAATTCCATCAAGACAAAAATTAAATAAACAGTATACCTGTAACAGCATTTCTTAGAGAGCTCTGGGTGGCTTAAGAGTTACACTGCCAACTCAAAGGCATATGGTTTGAATCCTATTGCTCCACAGGAGAAAGATGGATAATCTCCTTCTGTCTCTGAAAATCCACTGAAGGGTCAGCTCTCAGTCAGTTCTGACTTGACAGTACATAACAATAACGGTGGCAGTGGAGGCAGGTGTGTCAGAGACAGTGAGACTGGCTCAGCATAGGGCAGGGTTCTAAGCTTTTTTGTTCATAGAGTTGCTGTGTGTCGTGAATGATTCAGTGGCACATAACAACAACAGCAACACCACCAGAGCAGCATTTCTTGCATTTTAAGCACCTGGTGTATAGAAACACAGGTTCTGTCAGATGATATCAGAGATAAGTACACTGGAATTCTTGAAAGAGAAGACTTTTCCAATCATCATGTTGTTGTTGTTATGTGCCGTGGAGTCGCCTGTGACTCATAGTGACCCGATGTACAGCAACCCTCAACCCTGCTCTATCCTGTGCCAATCATATTGTCTCTGACACACCAACTCCCATTACCCCAGTCACTGAATCAATCCACCTCATTGAGGGTCTTTCCCCTTCTGCGCTGTCCCTCCACCCTCCCAAGCAAGATGTCCCTCTCTAAGGACTGGTCCCTCTTTGCAACATGTCCAAAGTATGTCAGACGAAGCTTCAGAATCTTTGTCTCCAAGAAGCAGCATGGTTTCACCCTCTCCTGGACAAACCTGTTCATTCTCTTAGCTGTCCAATTATCTTACTATCTTTTAATCAATAAAGCTAGTTGCTAGCAAGTCAGTTTCAACTCAGAGTAAACCCATGGAGCTTAAAGAGGGACTGCTAAACAGTATGCAGTCCAGTTTGGACATTGGATTTGAGCAACACTATTATTTGCTTCCCTGGACACTTGTCTTCCTCTGATTTTGGGATGTTAAGAATGCTCTTGTTCATTTATTTCTTGTTAAAGCCTAGGAGCTCAACTATTACATGAGATCATTTTGCAAATGGTGACTGGTATCCTGTTTCATATCACATATGTCCATTGTATCTATGTCTTAAACATTTCATAAGAACAAGGTCTTTTAGGGTAAAGACAGCTGGGTACTAGGAAAGAGTGAAATGTGAGTTAAGTGTGTAGTTGTTAAATACTTTTGAGAATCTCTAAAGTGATGGAGCCTGTACTTTTCTGGTTGTTAACTGTGTAGAACGTTTCTGTGACATCGAGCCAAGTGCCTTGTGTCCTTACTGGCCAACCTTGTGTTGAGAAAAAATAGTAAGCCTGAGTGCACATTTGCAGATAATCCTAGCAGTGAGACCCAATGCTATGACTAGATATTTGAAAGACTTTGCAAAGGGGTTTACTCATTTGGAAATGGAAGACAGTTTGGGACTTGTAATGAAGGTAGCCCTTCTGTCTACATCATCCCTGTCTAAGTTTTTGTTCTACACTGCTGAACTTTGGAGAAATCAATCTCTGTAGACCACAGTTCCCTCATCTGTATAACACAAATACAAATCTGTGAATGAAGTTGGAGCTAACCCTGAGGACATAACTACAGAGCATGGAATTTTCTCTATGGGGAGTTCATTCAGAGTTCCAACTGAACAGTTGCAGGAATGTTTGTAGAATCCAGATGGACATGGAGGCTGTGAAATACAGGACCCAAATCCCGTTTATAAATTGAGAACTGTTGCAATGGAAGTGTGAATAATCCTTCACTGTGTTGATTAATCACAGACCCCAGAGGGTGTAAGTGAAGAACAGAGGACCCAGGAGCTGGCCGCGATGGAAGAGACCCGGATTGTCATTCTAAACAACCTGGAGGAACTTGAACAGAAAATCAAAGATATAAATGACCAGATGGATGAATCTTCCAGGGAGGTATCAACAAGTTTACTTTTCACTTTTTCTGTTTTCTTTCTTCCCTTTAATTTAAAAATATTGGCTCTCTATGAGGATACAAGGCTGAGTATGTAGCTATCAACAAGAGAAACCATTTTTAAAAATAGAAACCATGTGTAAGGTACAAGTGCCATTTTTTCGTTTTACATTTCTTTCTTAAATTGTGGTTGAATGAGATAAACTTATTAGGCCATTTTTTAAAAATTGTGGTAAATATTAATATCCTAAAATATTTGTCATTTTAGCATTCTTGACATGTACATTTTAGCGACACTAATTTTATTCATTATATTGTGCTAAGTTACTGTTTCTCACTTCTGACTTTTTCCTCTATCCTAACAGTAGCCCAGTATTTCATATAGAGAAAATCTCCTTCCCCTCCCCCCAGATCTATGTGCATCTGCCTCTTAGAGATAATTTATATAAATAGAATTGTAGGATATCTACCCCTTTGTGACTGACTTCTTTTATTCAACATGATGTTTTCCAGGCCTATTCATGTTGTTGTTTGCATCAGAACATTTTGGGACATGGAATGTACATAGTTGTTTTTCTCTTTTCCTTGAGGAAAATCTCTTTGTACCTATGTACTACATTTTCTTTTTCCATTCATTTATCAATGAATATTTAGGCCACTTTAATCTTTTGGCTATTGTCTGTAGTACTGCAGTGAGCATTGATATGCCTCTGTCTGTTTTCCTTTTTTTTTTCTTTTCTGCTCTCAGTGGATACCTCATGAGAGTAAGCTCGCTGGATCATATGGTAATTCTATGTTTAACTATTTGAGTAACCCCAAGACTGTTTTCCACAGCAGCTGTACCATTCTACAATCCTATCAGCAGTAGATGAGGTTTCCTATTTCTCTACATCCTCACCGACACCTGTTGTTTTTGTTTTGGTTTTAATCATGGCTGTCTATGTGAGTGTGAAGTGATAGCTTGTTTTGGTTTTGATTTGTGTTACTCGAATGACTAGTGATGTTCAGCATCTTTTTAGAGGTTTGCTGACCATTAGTATGTCTTCATGTCATTTGCTCATATTTTTTACCTGGTTCACTGTCTTTTTACTATTGAGTTGTGTGGTAAGCCATTGTTAATGTGCTTTATGTATTCTTGGATTTCTCTTCACCATTATATGCATATTGGTTTGTCCCAGGAACTCTGACAGCTGAAAGACCCCTGAAAGCTTGAGTGTTTGAGTTCAAACGCAATGTTTTCTGAGCCTGTTAGCTATCAGACAATCATCTCACTAACACTGGAGAAATCCGTACATGAATCACATGTAGGCTCCACTTTCTGTGAGTTTGCAAACTAGAAAGAAGGACATTTGAGAATGATTATAGGATGACAGTGACTGTTTTTTTATTGCTTCCATGGAATGAGAAGGTGCAAAGAATTAATTCTGTCTGTGGAAGTTAAGTTGGGATGTTTTATGACAGATGATGCAGGAGTAAGGGGAGGCTCACCTGTCATCATATACACAGACCTTGGAAGCCCCTCCTTCAGGCATTGCTAGGAATGTGAGCTTTCTGTGCTGAACCATGTGTGACTCTTACTTCTCTTGCTCTAGGGACAAAGAAAGACATGATTGATCCCTGCGTGGTCTATGCTCAAGCCTAAGTCCAAGGAAAGGGACAAAATGTCATTGAGAAATAACCAGAAAAGGGGGTCAGAGAAGACAATTTAGTGACAACCAACTTTATTTTTTAATTTTATTTTATTATTTCTTTCTTTTCTCTCCAACTTTCATTCCTAAGTCAAATCTAACATGACTCTGGGTTGTTCTCTAGGCTGTAACATACTTACTGATAAGGTATTATTGTTATTTTTTTTTTTAAATTGTAGCTGCCAAGCAGTGCATCTCTATAGTGGATGAGTGAGAATTTCTTGGAAGGATATTTCTGAACCCTGTTTTGTGTTCTCAGTTGGATATGGAATGTGCGCTTTTGGATGGAGAACAGAAATCTGAAACAACTGAACTCATGAAGGAGAAGGAGATTTTGGATCATCTAAACCAGAAAATAGCAGAACTGGAGAAAAACATTGTTGGCGAAAAGACCAAGGTAAAGAAATTAGTATATGAATGCAACTTTTATGTCAGCATAGTGGCACTGTTTGATAGAATGGAAGAGCTGAGTGGAATGTGAATTTGGGTTTGTTTGTCATGTTCCTGAAAATAGTCACTTTTGAGGAAAGCAACAAGATCAGGTAAGCTGTCACAAGGGAAGCACACTGAGGTACTGAGTAGCAAATGCTGAGAGAGCTGAGTATGTGGAATTTGTGAGCTGATTTTCATGGCAGCTTATCATACTCAAGTGAATGAATTACTTTTTCCACTAGCTTTTCTGTCTATACTATTGGGGTCTTGTGGGAATGGCTTAAGCATATTCAAATATGGTGGTCTCATTTCTTTTCATTTTTCTGTTTATCAAGAAGATGAATGGGGGCCATTCATCTCTGTCCTGCCTTGCCATTGTCTTCGATGCAAGTGCACCGCTCTTTGGAAACTGCATTGCTGTTTTGGGAGGAACTTCACACTGCCAAGTGCAAACTGCCTGTGAAACTCATCTGACACCTAGCTTGGAGAGTCAAGCCACAACTTGGTTAAATTTTTAGGGAGAATATGAACTATTATTTGCAATTCTTAGAATTCAGGGTGATAGTTGAGTATTTAATCTGTTTATTAAATTTTTTTCTCTCTCTCTTAAATGCTACACATTGTTCTGGTTTACCATTTGGAGTTAGTTTGAGCTGAATTAAGCCTGGGAAGGGAAAGTAAAATAAAATACTGGTTTAGGAAAGATAAAACTAAGTAGCTTTGCCACATTCTTTCCTGTTCACCATGCTTTTTACTAAGCTGAGAAAAGGAAAAAAAAAAAAGAAAGCCCACTTGAGTAAATTCTAGTGATAATATATGTAAAGAATTTCTGCTGGATGTGGCTTCCTTTATTAGGCTCGTCTTTGTTCGAGACCTATAAATAAGGGCATTTGATCTTGGTGCCAGAGAATGAGCTCAAAATACTGTCGGAAATGGAAGTCAAGTGAAAAGCCACATCATGATTTGTTGGGTGCTGACTTCTGACCCTTAAACTGTGTGACCTTTTCTTTATTAAATTCTTTGAGTGCTCCAGACTTCAAAAGAGTAAGGAATTCATTTGGATAGTAACTGTACTTCTCTTTAAAATCCAAAACCAAGACTTTCTAACTCTTCTGTGTAGAAGGAAACAGTTAATGAGCTATGTTTTTCAAAGCTTCTGTCAGCACAAGACAGGAAGAGCCTTGAAAAGATGGATTGACACAGTGACTGTAGCAATGAGGTCAGGTATGATAAAGATAGGTAAGGTTGGCTCAGGATAGCACCAGGTTCACAGCTATTCATAGGGTCACTATGAGTTGTAGATGACTCAACAGCACATAAGAACAACAACTCAATGATCCAGCAAGCAGCTTTTTGTTGGATGGGTCAGAGAGAAAAAAACCCTCAACAAGATGGATTGCCACAGTGATGGGCTTGTAATGGTAACTAATTGGTGGTAACAGTGGTCTTGAGCATATCAGATCAGGAGGATGGGCAGGATAGGATAAAGGTCACTATGAGTTGTCATCAACTCGTTGGCATCTGACAACGATACAATTTTGTCATTCTGGAAAACTTATGGGACAGATGGATCTGAGTCCTTCTGCCTTCCTCACCTTTATTTATATTTGGGTGGGACACACATTTCATAGCCTGTATGTACTTTTTGCCTGTAATTAGCATGGCACTCTCAAAAGTGAAGTAAGCAAGTCAATGCTAAATTTCACTTAGCACAGAAAGTTGTCTTATCTCTCTGGGCCCAAGATGGAGGCAGACATCTAGAAACACAGAAGAGCCAAGCAGGGAGGTTGCCTCCATCCTTCCTGTTATTGTTTTGGTGGTGGATGGAGCTCTCGGGAAACAGGGACTGCTGGCAGTTTGAATTCTAGAACCAGCTCATTCAGCTGTTAGAGGATTACTTAGTCTTGGAAGATAGGATTATAGCCTGTCATCATAGGGTATGAAGAATGGCAGAAGCCAGCTTTGACTGCAGGACTCCAGAGGAGAATAAGGAAGGGTAGAAACAGAACTAGGATTTGAGTGGCTTCAGTGTGTATCCTTGACATTCAAACTCAAGTAGAGAACCAGCACTGCTGGACAATATGATGTTTCTCAAATAAGCTGGTTATTACCTACAGGCATACCAATAATGTTATCAAAATAATCTATTATTTTAAAATAAGTACATAAACATCCTTCTCACTGCTTCCTTATTGCTCTTCTCTTGAGCATAGCTAAACAGTTAAAATCATTTTCTTAGTGTACTATGTCTATTGTTCCTCATATCCTAGAGAGTTACCCATTCCTCCTATTTCAACTGACTCTGAAGCCTACTTACTACTTGAGTCTTCTATGTTGTTTACTTAGTGGATGCTTTCAGTCTTGTGGCCTTGCTTCTGTTCCCACAGTAAGCGGTATAGGGGATAACTCTTCTTAATTCTGACCCAAATGTGCCTGTGGCTTCTGGGCACCACTTTTTTTGTGTATTCTCTTTTCCTTTCTTTGATTTTCCATCTCTATTTCCTTTACTTTTTCCTCGGCTTCTATCCATTCACTTGAATTTGCCTTCCAGCAGTGTGCACATCTTTTCTGTCTTCTCATTCTTTGCTAATCCTGACTTGAAATAATTTCTGGTGACTATCAAAATGCACCTTTCAAGTCTATAATTCTTTTCTGAACTTCTGACTCATATCCTGTGATTTACCTGACTTCTCCACTTAGAGGTTTCACAGGTATCTACAGCTGAACTCAGATAACAGAACTCTTGATTTTTATCCTTACTCTGGCCACAGCACCTCCACTGCATTTCCCGTATAGGAAAATTGAGCACCCAGCTGCTCGAATAAGAAACCTGGAAGTCATTCTTGACCCTTCTGTTTTCATCCTCCATATATCCAGATTAAAATATTCCTCAATTATGCAACTTCTCTGCATCTCCGATAATGACACTCTTCCTCAAAATCACCTTAGCCAGCAGTTCCCCACATCATTTAGCTCATTTTCTATGTCAATCCATTCTCTTTTTTTCACAACAGCCAGCGTAATTTAAAATTCCTAGCAGCCAGTCTGATTTTTAAAAAATGAATACACACACACAAAGCTGCTTTAGCAGTTTGAATCCACCAGTGGTACCACAAGAGAAAGATAAGTCTACTCCCATTTGCTTTACAGCCTTCAAAAACCTGCTAGAGGGTCAGGCATGAGTCAGTTCTAAATCAGTAGAAATGAAGGCTTTTGCTTTGTTTTTTAGTTTATATACACACATTAAACCACATCACTCTGGTTTATTGTGCTCCACTATAAAGGAGGGAGTTTGGGTGGTTTAGTGATAAAGGATTGTATTCCTAACCTGGAGGACCTTGGCTTGAGTTTCTCAGCTGCTGTGTGGGAGAAATATGGGAATTCTTCTGTGCAATTTATTGCCTCTGAAAACCCACTGGAGGGTCAGCTATGTGTAGGTTCCAGCTTGATGTTATGTACAATAGCATATTTTAAAGGAAGTCTGGTGATGTAAGCCGTAGGGAGTTACATTGCTTACTCAAAGCTGCCACGTCTCCAGTGGTGCAAATCCCCCATCAGGTCCATGAAAAACGAACAGTCTCCTCCAAAGCAATTTACAGGCTCTCAAGAACGTGCTGGAGGATCAGCTTTGAATCGGTTTTCATTCTTACATTAGTGACTGATGGACTAATGTGATAATCTGTTACGTGCTTATTCGTCCAGCCTCTGTCATCTCTCTCCCCATTTCCATACCACTCTCTCATTGCCTTTCTTCACATCACTCACAAATGTGGCCAATCTCTATGTCCCCTTCCTCAGATTCCATGTTTGCCAGGTCTGTTTTTCTGGACTCTGATTTGTTCAGTGCCTTCCCTCAGAAAAGCCCTTCCAGGCCTTTCCAGGTTAGAGCATATTTTCCCTCTTGTTCTTTTTCTCTCTTACACAGCATTTTTAAAAAATGTGTATTTGTTTGGGTGCTTACCAGATATTTATCTCCATTTCTAGTCTGTGAAATATAGGGGAAACTACTGTCTAGGGAGCTCTGGTGACCTAGTAGTAAGAATCTGTACTGCAATCAAAATAACTATGTTACCCCTGTACGAATAGCAAAATTCAACACAGCAACAAACAACAAACGCTGATGAGATTGTGGAGGAACTGGAACCCTTATTCACTGTTGGTGGGAGTATAAAATGGTGCCACCACTATGGAAGGCAGTATGAGGCTTTCTCAAAAAGTTGGAAATAGAAATACCATTTGTCCCAGCAATTCCACTACTGGAAATATACCCCAAAGAAACCATAACTTCCACCCAAGCAGATATATGCATACCCATGTTTATTGCTGCTTTGTTCACAATAGCAAAGAGTTGGAGCCAACCCAAGTACCTATCAACAAACGAATGGATAGAGAAGCTGTGGTATATTCACACAATGGAATACTTGCAACACTGAAAAACAAAGAACTTATGAAATATTATACTAAATGTGTGACTATGGAGGACATCATTCTGAGTGAAATATCTCAGTCACAAAAAGACAAGTATTGCATAGTGCCGCTGTTATAGAACAGGACTGATAGGGGGTTGGGGGAAAACGAAGAAAAGAGGGAATAAATAATGTGCATGGTCTTGAAACATATGAGGAGGAGAACATTATGAAAGGAATATATAATTAGGTATTATTGGCATGACAAAAGTCCAGAATAAGAGTTGCATAGTAAAGTGGTGTGGGGGTGTGGACTGTACAACAATGAAAGAACTTTTTTCCCCAAAGAAAAAAGTGAACTGGGAGGGAAGGAGACAGGGAGAAAAATGTGCAGCAATGAATGAATGGAAACGCAAGTTCTTTATAAACTTTCATTAAAATCTAAAAAAGAAAAAGAAGAAGCTGCCCTGCAATCCCAAAGGCACTTGGTTCAAATCCACCAGCTACTCCAAGGGTGAAGGATGCCTGTCTCCTCCTGTGTGATTTACTGCTTCTGAAA